ATTCTGGATCCCGGCGCCCACCACATGAATGTGCGCAGCACACGCATGCATGCTTACTGCCTGCGACGCCTCCGAAACACTCCAGTTGCTTGGCGGAGCATCGCACAGGCGCTGTATGCTCTGCACGTACGCAGAAGCACCAAAGAGTTCAAATACCAGTGAGCACAGGTGGGTGGGCCCTCCGGAGTACCGTACTGGAATGGTACCCGGTGCTCCTGGCAGGCACCGGTACGCCCATACTGGGGCGTACTGGTCATAACCCACCACTGGTTCAGGCTCATAAAAGTTATATTCTGGGGCAACCAGCAACAGTGCCATAGAATAACAGCAAAAAAAAAAGGAAGTTTGTAGAAAAATAGGTGACCTCAAATAAAAGATTTAAGTTCTGCTGTTTGGATACCTCTGAATGTTAGTGCTAAGGCTGATTAACAATGATGGGATATAATGTAGCTTTTAGAAACCTGCAAGTAAAACCAACTATCCATTTATATCTTCCTTTTTCCTCCAGGAACTCAAGGCTATGTATGTGGTTTTTCATTCTCCAATATTATTGACCCACAGCCCTTTGAAGCTGAGGGTTTCATGCCTGAGTGAATGTAACAAGCATAAGCAATAATTCCTAATTGATTAGGAAGTCAGCTTAAATGTAAGTGAACCTAGCTTAAAAAATGTCTTTGCCTGCTGATTTGGGAGAGTAGCAAAGATGGAACTAGTCTACTTTCCCATGGTTCAGAATCGTACTCCTTTATGACTCGAGGCCTATTGGATGCATGTTTAACAATATTTGTTTGAAAAGGCAGAAAACAGATCAGATATAAACAGCAAATAACAGAATAACACACATTGAAAGAGGTGGGAAAACCTACACAATTTGGGGACCGGGTATAAATATATAGCTACTTTTAAAGAAAAAAATAAACTGCCCAGAAAGATATTTCTGCTAATAAAGGAGAACATTTATAGCTCAGGATTGACATGAGGGGTCCTTGGTGCTCTCTGAGCTTGGTTGTTTACTTGCAGATTAGCATTTGCACCAGAGATGAGTTCCTACCAGTTTGCACTGGTTCGGTGGAACAGGTGGAAAGGGCGACTGGGTCTCCGAACCGGTAGGGACGGCATGCTCACCACACCCCCAAACTGGTTCCCTGGTTGCTGTGACATCTTTTTTTTTTTGACCTTTTTAAATGTTCTGTGCATGCGTTGACCTATTTATAGGCTACTGTGCATGCATGCGGAAGCACGCATGCATCAAACCAGCAGTAATACTGGCAGAAACCCACACCTGATTTGCACTGATGATGTTACCTAGTTTGGATAATGAAGAAAACAAGCAAGCTCAGAGAGCACCAAAGACATTTGTACAGAAGTATTAAAGACATTGAGAGTATTTTTGAATAAAACATCCTTGATTATAATATGACTCAACACTCTACTGTTGTATTAATTCTCCCAAATATTACTAATCCAAATAAAGATGTGCAGTTGTCAGTCTTGTAAAAAATGGGTTAGCAGGTTTCAATAGCATCCTCATAAATCTTCAAAACTGCATTTGTTGGTTTTTTTTTTTTTTAAATATATATTTTCCAAATTGGCTTCTATGTCATTAAGAATAGGTATCAACCATTGTGATGCCATTTTTCCCCCCAAACATAAATAGAACAAACATTAAGATCTCCACACTGGTGCTTAGGAAAGGCTTAAGTGCCTAAAATCCTCAACGTATAATTTTTAATAGCTCACCAACTTTTTTTTTTCCTTTAAGAATTTGGAACAGGTTACTTTAGCCTTGAAAAAAACAGTAAAGAAATAAAAAGAGATTCTTTAAAAAGTTGTTTGCATTTTTTAGGAAGACAAATGTAGAGAGATAAAAAGGAATAAGGAGAAAATTGTTATTATTTTTAATCTTACAACTCTTGCTCTTTTGCATGATGAGCATATCTTAAGAGTAGTCAGGCAGAAATTGAGAATCTAGAATCTAGGCTAGAATGGATTCTGCAGAAGTTCTGTTTGATAAATGAAAATATGTTATTAGCTTAGAAATGAATGTGCTAGTTTTCAGTAATTCTACAAATAGCAGTTTTTGCATGATCTCATCCGTTGAAAAACTCCCAGCACCGTTTCCAACCCAAACCGGATATTTTTTTTAACCTTTCGAAAATGTTTGACTGAAAATCTCTTGTTTAAATTAAAATTTTGTCCTAACAGCATGCTTTCACCTGTACAGGTAGTTCTCGACTTAAGGCCACAATTGAGCCCAATATTTCTGTTGTCAAGTGAGATATTTGTTAAGTGAGTTTTGCCCCATTTTATGACCTTTCTTGCCACAGTTGTGAAGTGACTCATTGCAGTTGATAAATTAGTAACCGGCTGTTAAGTAAATCTGGCTTCCCAATTGACTTTGCTTGTTGGGAAAGGTCGGAAAAAGGGATCACATGACCTTGGGACACACAACGGTCATAAACAAGAGTCAGTTGACAAATGCTTGAATTTTGATCACGTGACCATGGGAATGCTGCAATAGTCGTAAATGTGAAAAATGGTCATAAGTCACATTTTTCAGTGCCGTTGTAACTTTGAATGATCACTAAATGAACTGTTGTAAGTCAAGGACTACCTATACTTAGCACCTTTTCTGATTGTTCTATAATCCTGCACAACTCCACAATCCCAATATAGTTAGATACTATTTAATGATTAACTCAAAACAAGACTGTTACTTCAACAGTGGGCATGTTTGCATAGATTTTATGATTGTTGCATTTGTAATCTGGCTTTCCCAGCATTGCCAAATAACAACTGCCAGTTGTCCCACAACAACCATTGCCATAGTGAATTAAGCTTCTGGGAATCATAGTTTGGCTTATTTGGAAGACAGTGAATCCCCATTTCTTGGAATGGCTGTTTCGCCATCCCAATTCTCTTCCATTTACTTTGGTACAAGTAACAATGTACCTGTACTGTGGAACAGTTTTCAAAAGTTAAGAAAAGCAGGTTGCTTGAAGAAGTAGGCAACTTGTAGATCTCCAGATATGCTGAAACACAGCCTCCAGCTCTGCCTCTTATTAGTTCTAAGGCTTTAATGGCTTGGGTATTGTACTTCAACAATATGTGTAGGTCAGCAGATGACTCATTTCTACATTATAGTCATATGAAGTAGATGGTATTCCACATTCAGAAAGTCATCTAGAGCCTGAAATATTACTGTATTTAGATATTTAGTCACATTCTTTGTATTATCCAATCAACTACATTTCATAACCATCTCACAGAATTAAGTTCTTCAGAATATAAACATATAACGGATGACAAATGAATTCAGCAACTTTTGGACTTTATCCTAACACTGAAAATGAATCAAAATTATTTAACATAACTCTTTTCCTGGGTATATTTTGAGGGTATTCTTATTTTTACATAAGAGCATTTCAATATTGTAACCATTGCCTCCAAGCCTTTATTTTTACTGAGCCAAAATACATTATTTTGGATGTTATTCACCCAATATTTTAATCAGATTAGTTATCACTGGCCAATATTTTTCTTTTGTTTCTATGTGGCATTATTCAGTATTAGTTGCTTGCTCTAGATTTTATTATTTTATATTGTTGCCACCAGAGGGTAGTAGATGCCTGCAATATATATATGACGACAAGAGTTAAGAAAATTTTGTATTTCATAATATCTTGAACTTTGCATTCATCTCTCTCCCTTCCTC